AAAGGAACGACTTGAACTGCTTTCACAATCCAAGTGATGGAGAGCATGTTGGGAAGAGAGGAGCCATGAGGAAGGCACAGCTTCAGCTGTGTGAGTAGACCAGGCTCTCTGATGCCTCAGCAGATCTGCTTTCATTCATACTGGCTGAAAATCTGACCCCTGGCACTTTCAGGCTTCCTTGCAGAGCATTATTTGATTAGAAAAGAGAATTAATGATTGTGAAGTGTTTGAAGAGAAGGAGAGGAAAATTGTCTTGCTGATAAATCTCGTGCATAATGCAGGGGTAGAGCAGCACTGTTGTGACAGTTCTGCACATCAAGGATAATTCTGCCAGCCTCAGTGGAACTGAGCTACCTCAGGGTAAAAGAAAAAAGAAATACTGATACATTATGGATTTGAATTTTATTCAGCTATGTAAACAACACTAGTCCAGTGGGCTATGGTATACTGATTACTTATGGTATTTTCTTTCTTCTTAAATAGAATAAGAAAATCCTTCTCCAAGTTGAGTAACTAATTGCTTTGTGAAAGCAGAGATCCTTTATAGTTGCCTCCATCACGTCTTTGTTGTCAAGAAGATTTCTGAGGGATTAAAAACCTGTAAGCAGCTTTCAAAAACAAATACAAATAGTGATTTAGATCAGTGGCAACAAAGTATGAGTTTGAAGTAATATCTTTGAAAGTGCAATGATATTTACAATACATACAAGATAGAGAAAAAAATCTTGCATTTTAAAAAAACAAGCAAACCTAATATACTGAGTGGCCTGCCTGGAATACCTGTAATTCTGCATTTTTGCAAGAAATTACTTTTGATAATTGTGAAGATGAAAGTGGTTTGCAACACAGTGAGCGTTAGCTAGTGGGAAAGATGATCTGAGATTTTATATAAACTTGCTTTCACAAAAGGAGTTACGCAGTATTATTTCTAGTGTAAGTCTCTGTTCCAATTTTGGTATTTTGGTGAACTGCTGTGAGAGCACTACAGAGAGGGTGCTGCAAGTGTGTGACTCTGAATACAGCCTTTTTCTTTAAAAGGCTAGTATGGATTTAACTGAAAAATAAAGCTCTGTTTTGTCTACTTTGAGGAGATAATAGTGCAATTACCTGAGCCTTGCAGCTGGCAGGCTTTTCCCATGCAAATTTGAAGAACTCTTATAGTGCTTAATGAAGATTTTGTGCCCTGATTAATTATCTTCAGGAAATAGCCATGCTGTAATTGGCAGCCTAAAAGGGAGTCAATTAGCAAGATCTTTGTGGGACAGCAGCCTGCCTTGGTGGGCGAAGTTAAGGCAATAGCATGTTTTCTTTAGAGAACACCATTGCAAATTTGATCTCGCCTTGTGCTGGTTTTTTATCATGAGACAAAAATGAAGGTACACAAATGAAAAAAAAAAATTGCACATAACCACGTTTCTAGCCTGAATAGTGGTCTAGTTATTCCACTATGTGAGGAGCAGAGTTCTATCTAATCCATGTTAGTGTATACATAGGACTGGATGTGATAGTTATAGAGATTACAAAACAATGAGATCAAAACGGGAGTAATGCAGTAGATTTCCAATACATTTTAATTTCATTGTAGTTTAGTGACTGCTGGAGTATCTCCCATGCAATTCTTCACTGAATGTAGTGTGCTTTACAGGGAAGTTTGATTTGTCTCAGTATTAAAAACCACTGTTTAAAAGCTTCAGTAATATGACCATTTCATAGCTTTGGTTGATTACTTGTTTTATCTGTGATGAAATGAAACAAAACAGAAAGATAGTGTAAAATGCAGCCAGTATTCAAGTTAAACAAATTACACTGAAAAATAAATAGGATTCAGTATTAAAAGGCTGTTGTGGGTTCAGTTTGCAGATTTCATGAAGAGTAAGTATTTGTACAGGTCTTTTTGCTTTTGTAATGAAGTATCAAATTGGCAATATTCCAGGCCACTCTCCAAAATACATGAAGTTGATTGTGGTGTTAAAGCACTTACTCTAATTTGTAGAAAAGAGGAGCAATAAAAACTCCACCTAAAAATCAGAAACGGGGTTGGGGAGAAAAATACTCAAAATACAATTAAAATAACAAGCTATTTTTGCCTTTTCATTTTGGATGATGAAAAGATGCCCATTTTCTGGAAATCCAGCAGGAAATGTTGAATTACTTTCTTTTAACTTACTTTTGAGAAATAAAATCCAAAGAGGGGAGGTTACTTAGAATAGAAGTACAACACTGATCTTTAAAAGTAAATAGATAAAGAATCAGCTAAAGAGTCTGGATAGCTGCTCCTTGTTATGTTAAAATAGTAATTAGGTTAAAATAGTGCAACAACATCAAGTAGAAAAGAATTCAATCACTACAACTTAATCCTCTCGAAAAATATCAAACATCCACCTGTAATGATTTATCCCAGGGGATGTGTAAGAGGGTTGGTCTCATAGGCAGCACTGGGTAAATTCATTAGTAGTAGAGTAAATAAGAAACATTTTGCCTACGATGTGAAATTCAGTTCTGACACATTCTGGGGATCTCTAACACGTGGTTTCTTTGAAAGAAAGGCTTTCTGTTCTGAAAAGTAGCTTGGATCTCACTGGACAGCAGAGAGTACCTTATTTATTTCTTTCCCAGATGAATGACAGAGTTAGCAGCTGAAGAGAAAGCAAAGATGGCTGGAGATTTATAAGCCCACTTCAGATATTCACCAGCCAAAGCAACTGGCTGAGTGCCCCCCGCGTGTTAATTAAAAGCTGGCTGTCACAAAGGAGTCTGGAGCTGTGTAAGGAGGTGTTTGTGTCACTTAGACAGACCCCGAGTCTTTCCCTAAAGGTTCAGGATCCCAGAACTCTGTCAAAAGTTCGAATTCTGTCAAATGGGGGTTTGTGCATTGATTTAATTTTTAAAGTGTGGACTCCCACTTGGTCCCCCTTGTTTTTATTTCGAGCAAGGGCATTCTTTACTCAGTGATTTGCCACAGGGGGGTAAATCATCAACAGGAGTACTTAGAGATACCTCTTTGCATCTTTCATTGTTAGCTCTTACTCTAAGCTGTAACTGAAGACAATTGAACTGCAGGTGAGTAATCCTTCTTTTAGAATTCCAGAAGTTTATTTTAGATATTAGCTCACGTGCAGTTTGGATGAAAGGATAAAAATGTTTTTTAGAAAATGTATTGGAAATAATGCAAAGATAGTTATCCAAAATTCTTAAAATTTTTTAGAAGTTTTGGGAAAAAAATGGAATGTTTTCCTTTTTTCTTATATTTTTTTTCTACCTTCTATCCCATTACTGAAAAGTAAGATATGGAAAGAAATAAATGTCTTCCCTTTAAGCTCAGAAGATTTCCTTTCAAAATTGCTAAAATAGCTTAAAAATTAAATGCCTGTATGATTTTCAAATTTGGTAAATAGCTTTTTTTTTTTTTTTTTTCCCCTGGAAAAAACCCCAAACCAAATATGACTTGAAAGTTTTTTCTATAACTCTCTTGTTTAATGTAATGAAGTGCTCTTGCCCCAAAACAGATAATTGAAAGTGACAGATCCATCTATCACTTAATGATTTTGTTAAGAGAAGCTACATCCTGAAGCAAGAGATAAGCATTTGCACCCTAAGGAAGCCTTGGAACTCTAAGGTTAATTTTAAATAGTCAGATCTTTTCTTTGACAAAGCAATACAAAACTTTGTGTGCACAACAGTATTTTGTCTGGAACTGCCAAAGGCTGAAAGAGGAAAACATAATTTTTTTTGGTAACCATTGCCACCAAAGCATGAGCTTTGGACTAATTGGAGTAAAATCCAATTGCAAGAAAGGACTTGTTCTAACAGCCTAGTCTGTAGTAATTGATCAATAATCTGTTAATTGATAAGCTGAATAGAATTACTGACAGTATATCGAAGATCTGGAACCAACACAATTAAGTGACTTTCATGTCAAAGACTAGCCAGATTTCTCTCCTCACACAGTGCTAAGTTAATCTTCAGTAGCTGTTATAAGTTTCTTCCTAAGTTTAGTTAATTCATTCAGTTGCCAAGGTCAGACTTAATTTTTTCTTATCTATTCACATCTCTTCCTTCTATAAAGCACAGTATATCTTGCAGAAAAAAAAAATTAGGAAAATATTCTAATGCAATTAACCTCATTCTATGAACTTTAATGATACATGGAGTCATATCCTACAGCAGTAATATAACTTCAGGAATAGACTTTGGTGCTGCATCAAATAAGGATGAGCTAAATCAAAATAAGGAACAAAACACATACCAAAATGTGTGGTTGTTTGTTTTTTTTTTTTTTTGATTGAAAGGCTGATATGAGTTGTAAGATAAAAAAAAAAAAAAAAGAGAAAACAGAAAGACAGTATTGTTCACACTGGACATAAACTGAGAGGGAAGTCAGGGAAACAAAAGTTTATGCTACTATGTTATTGGGCTTTCTGTCTTCATCTGTCTATGAGCAGTTTGGCAGTCTCAGGAACACTTTAAAGTGAAAGAAATTATCATTGCAAAATTTGCTCTTACAAATAGGTCAAATTGGTGGATATTGGTAAAGGAGAAGCTTCAATTTGGAGTCCCGTGCCTTTTTCTCTACCTCTTTCCTAAAGGTGGAGCTCAGCAGCTGTCCTGTCTGACTTGGCTCATGATCTGTTCAGTCTAAATGCCATATTAGGCATCCAACTAGTATAAATTAACTCTTGTTCAGTTTTTAATTAATAAAGAGAACAATCTGTGTGCATGGAAAGGATAAAATTAGAGAATGGGGGAAAAACCTAAAAGTGCTGTGGAAAAAATCAGCAGAGATGGGGTCAAGTGTGACTATTACACACAAATGCACAATAAATCAGGGCTCATTTTGGATTTACTTTATTGTGGAAATGTGAACTTTTGACATTTTACACGAAATCCCAATATTTATAGACATTTACTTATATAAATAAACTTGGTCGCACATACGTATGTATTTAACATACTTAGGAATTCCTGTGCCTCACAATAACAAGGAATTTTTTTAATTCCAGAGTTCCCTTCCATGTGCCAACCTGACCCCAGCAAGGAGAGTGAGCTGTCAAGCCATAAAAATAAAGGTTAGTGTGATTTTCCTACGTGTCATGTGTTGCCCTGTAAGGACAAGCCTTTTCCATGTCCTGCTGTCCCAGCTGGTGTTTGGTGCTGCCTTGGCTGGTGTCGTCCCAGACTCCCCTCGTAGCTTCCTCATGCCTTCAGCAGCCACCCCAACTCTCTGTGCTGAGCTGATTTATCGACCTGTAAGTGGTAGGAGTGAAGGGTGAAGGGAAGTTTGTGTGAGAGATGGGGTGGTGGGTGGAGTAGAGGGTCCTGTGAGAAGGGCTGAGAGGGAGGGAATCTGCCATAGCTCTTGCCTACTGCCTGCAGCCAGATGCTTTCTGCATTAGCTCGTACATTATCTGAGGGTTATCTCCATACTATTCTTCCAGGGGATGCTGGTTTATCTGAGGGTGGATGATATATGGAAAACTGTGTAATTCATCTTTTGTCAGTTCAACCAGTCCAAATACTTAATGCAGAAGATCAGACTAGAAGACAATCATGGTTCAGGTTGTTCCAGTGTTAAAATCTATTATGTGTTGGGTTTCAGTGCCTTTTTAGCTGCAAGATGATAATTTGTAACATTTAGAAACTCTCTTATGTTTTGCCATTTGCTGACTGTGACCTTTAGCATATGTCAAGCATATGGTGAATTTCTGAATGCTTGAATTGTATCAGCAAGGTGCTATATTCCTACTATTTAATTGTTTTTAACTGCCAGCTGTGGCATGAGAACACTCTAGACGGGTCACTTTCTATTCATTTAACTAGTAAGAAAAATAAATATTTCCTTGTTGATTTGCTGATGTATTCACTTTGTTTCTGCAGCACCAGAAATAGATCTGGTAACAGTAAAATAGCTGAAAGCAGGAAAAATTACTTTCTACTCAAACGAAGGACAAATCCCTCACATTTCTAAGTAATTTGATATAACAATGCTTGTAAAATATTTAGCTTAGACATAGAATCGTTACAAGGTAAAAATGTTGTATTATTTTCTCTTTCACACAGTGTGATGTGCTGTTATCTCCCCATATTTCCACTAATATGTGGGTAATATGCATTGGGTGACTGTTTGCAGTGTATCAAACCTGACTGTGAAACTGTGCTTTAGCATTTTATTTGCAACTGTAAATACTCAGTTCTGAGGTCAGGCTCTGGGAGATCCAAGGCAGGCATTCAGCAATGAGGCACTGAAGCTGGGAGATGAAGGAAAAAAGAGAAATTAAAAGAAAAACAAATTGACTTAATAGTTTCAGGAGGATCAAACAAATAGTGTACCTCTTCTCTCTTTTTTTTTTTTTTTTAATATATATACTTTTCCATTGATTTACCTAACTTAACTATTCCCCATTATTTTTCTCTTTATGTTCTGTGGCTGCAAGGAAGTTGATGACCTGCTAATTTATTCCTTGTGTTCTTTATGAATTTCATCTGTTGCCAAAAATTGCCCTCAAATGAGGGTAGTCAAATGAGAGCATTTTCACATCACTCTTAAGCACCCTGCATGTGTTCTGCTTTAAAAATAAAAATAAGAGCCTTTATTTTATGAGGGTTTTTTTTGAAACCCACAGAGCCGTGAAGCTTACCATAATTTGCAGAAAGCTTTATGAGTGGGAGTGGGTGGGAGGAGAAAGAAGGGAAAAAAATAAGCCAAAGGAAGGTGAGAAGATCTTTGAATGAAATAAATAAAATGAGGCTATGCCAACTCTTCCCTGATAGTAGTGGGAGAAGGATACAGAGAAGTTATTACAGCATATTTCCCAGGTTCCACCAAGGTAAAATTAGAAACAGTCTTGGCAGTGGGTAACCAGAGAAATTGCCATATCTGTTTCTTTAAATTTGAATATTTTTCTCCATAAATGGAATTAACACCTTTCATTTAATTAAGACGTTAAAGTCAAGAATATGATTTTGCCACACATTTTCTGATAAAATATTGAATAGAAAAGAAAAAAAAAATTAAAGGAGTGTTAATTAGACAAAGAAATGTGTCTGGTGCAGAGAAATATGTGAAGTTTTTCTAGAAACTCACAAAATAAAGTAGTGTGAATAAATGGTGGCTTTTAGTTTGAGATGGCTGTGTGATAAGTTGTACTGGTTGTTCTTGATTTGTGCCAGTAAGACATCAAACTGGAGTTCTGTTGTAATTTTAATGCCAATTTTACTGTGAGAGGTTGTATCCCAACAGATCCTCTCAAATAAGTGCAGCAATTACTTTTGAAATTAGTGGAAAGCCTCATAATCGGGGCTAACACAGAATTACAGAAAATACTGTTTTCTTCCAAGGAAAATTTTAGGGACTTTTATAAAAATATATCCTTTACAGTAATATTTGTCGCACTGCACTCATAAATGCAAGTTACCCTCCTTGCTATGGGACCCCAATGTATTGTCTGAGAGGGAGGGAAAAAATGTAAGTTACTTTCAGTAGCTTCTCATATGTAATAAAGTTTTGCATCAATATTGAGCACTTTATGACCAGAAATAGGACCTAAAACCTTCAGTGACTTTGCACCTTGCAATGTGCTGATGAGGCATCTGAAAATTAAATTGTCTTGAGTTTCAGTGGAGTGAAATAGGGATCTGTAGCAACTCCAAAAGCTGGTGCCCTGCTCAAGTACGTAGAAGTCTAAGGTGTGGGGCAGGGGTTTGCATGTTGTAACCAAATGTGCCCTTGGAACAGGGGAATTCCTACCACCCTTCCTGCTGGCTAACAGTTTTCGAAGTAATTGCAGCCTTTGCTTCTGGCGGCACGAGAGGGATTTTAGTGACTCCAGTGGAATCATTCCAGATGTGGTGGAAATGAGATCACGTACTAGGCCTCCTTTTATAGCTCTGATGAGATACAAGATTGCAAAAGTTGCTCAAGAGACTATGCCAGCTCAAGAAAGCTGCTTTTTTCTGTAATTTTTTTTTTTTTTTTCCCAGCAAGAAGTTGTCTACTTAGAGTTTGCTCATGCCAGGTCATAGACCTTCATCCTTTGCATAATAACTCCCAGTGATACCTTATCCTCCAGTTCACTGTGGGATGTGCCTTTCCAGCTGTACAACAGGTGACCCAGAATGCTCAGAGGTCATTTTGGCTGCACACACACCAGTAGAGCATCCATGTGCCACGGACACAAAGAATGAAAGGAAAAATTCCGTGTTTTCTTGGGAGAGATCAAAACTAGCTTGATTGTCTCGCCCTGCTTCACCACCAGTCTGTGAACTGGTTTTCTTTCCCAATGTGACACAATTTCTCTACTCTACTTTGTCTGTGGAGGTCTCTACGTAGTTTTCTTTTTATGATTGGGAGAACATACCTAAAATTCATTTAGCACATTTTTAGTCTAAAATGACATTTTAAAGGTATGTAATAAAACTGATGCGGGCTGGAACTTTAGTTTATGGAGAAAAGAATCGCACTATGGGATTTAAATGGTGAAAACCTATGGGGGTTAAGTTCTGAAGCCACAAGTAAGGACATTATTATTCATTGGAGGTCATTTTTTCAACCCAGAAAGCACTGATTTTCTTTATAAACTGAAAACTAGGGTCCATGGATACTTTATTATTTTCTTAAAAAGGGCTTTTAAGAAAAGGGCAGCACCTCTACATGTCCACTGTGAGAGCTTTTTTCTTACATCATAAGGGTCTGATTCTGTCCCCTAGCTATATTGGAAGGGTAGGGAATGAAATCAGTGGGAAATGAGTGGGAAACTCATGGGGTAAGTTACTCATGGCATAGAGACAGACCTGATCTCTGAGGTATGTGGCCACCAATAGCAGCAGTCATGGGAAAGTTCCAGGAATAATAGTGGTAGCCATTTAAATAAGTGGAAAATTGTCCTCCATTTTTACAATTTCTGTCCCTCAGATGTCTGCATTTAATAATCACATTCTAGTATTCTCATTATTACTCATGAAAATAGTACAACTTTCTGGTCTACTGAGAATGCAAGTGGGGCAATTACTTAGATAAAGACATCTTGACATTTTGCTGGGACAAACTGCCTTTTGACAGAACAGAAAATGCAGGAAATCCTCACTTCTGAAAACCCCAAGAAAAACATTTCTCTAAAAAAATTATATATGTATCTATATTTTTTTATTTTTTTTTCCCCAGGCCTTCTGTAATTGACACCAAATGTTCCTGGCAGCAACCACTTTCCAATTGGTTCCTGCATTTTTACCATGCAAATTGAACACTACACTTCTCTCAAACTGTGTTTTAGTGTGAGGGAAGCAGTTTTGAAAATAGTTTTATTTTTATTCTTAGAGGCTCTTGATGCATGTCGTTCTGACTCGCAATCACTTTCAAAACAGAGTATATTTTCAAAGATGACTGAAGAAAAAGGTTATTTTTAATAGATTATACATTATTAGAGTTCTTAACAATTCTTCTAACAAGAAAAAATAAACCACAATGGAAAAAACCTTGTAAATACATAATCCCACCTTAAAAATACAATTGCCCCTGGGAATTAAAATCTTGACCTCTGCAATGAAACCACAGGGAATGTACCTCAGTTAAAATTTAAGGACCTTGACATTTGTCTGGTGCATAACCACAAAATCTCCCAGAAGTACTGAACAGGCATGCCAATGTCTGATCACATATAGTAAGGCATTTTAACATGCCTAGTCTAGGCCTTGAAAAGAATTAAAGGTGAAAAATTTCAGTTGTGCCTTTTTGCTTTGTTTTATTTGTATTTATTTGTGTTTATTTTTATTTATTCTTTTTAAAGATTGAGGCAACATACTTAAAAAGGGAAAGAGATTTCTCAAAGCTGAATAGCATCTTAGTTTAGTGTAAAAAAGCTAATAATTCACACTGAGAGAAAAGTTGATGCCTTATCTACTGTGTAAATCAGTGAAAGTTAAGGGTGCTATGTTTTCTTACTGATGGCTGGCTTTGGATATTTTTGTTATTTTGTTTGTTTCTCTTCATGTGAGAAAAATTGATACAATATTTATATACTTAGCTGGAACTTAAGGATAGGGTACTTGATGTGCTTATGAGATTCCTGTGCCA